AAGCTGAGCTCTTTGCTGGTGTGTCTGCTAGAAGAAAAAAAAAAAAAAAAGAGAGAGCAAATACTCAGTAAATTATTCCAAAAAAGAAGAGAGCAAATAAGTAACAGTGAAAATTCTAGCATCATAACAAGGGCTGACAGTGAGAAGTTTCCTAGCAGTAACATTAATACTCCCTTATCATGTTAAGATAGTGTTAGGTGTCAACTGCAGCACTCTTGCAGCTGTTTTGTTTTGGTTTAGTTTTTTGTTTTTTGGGTTTTTTTTGTTTTGTTTTGTTTTTAGCTAACCAAGCATACCTACAACTGAAGAAGGTGGCCCAATGGGCCCAAATGCTAAGAAGATTATGTACTCCTGGCTCTAGATCAGTGTTTTCAACTAGGGGCAACTGTGTATGCAGAGGATAGTTGGTAATATCTGGACACAGTTTAGGTGTCACTACTGGCATTCAGTGGGTAGAGGCCAGGGATGCTGCTGAATATCCTATAATGCCCAGGACAGCCCTCCACAACAAACAATTATCCAGCTCCAAGAGGTCAATAGTTTAGAAACCATGCTCTAGATAACAAATCAATTTTAAAGCAAATTAATCACATTGCTTTAAAAATATATGCCTTTAGTTGTGTTCTGAAAGAGAACAATATGTATGCTAAAATACAGATGTGAAATCGTTAATATGCTATTCCTTAACATTCATGTTCCAGAAGTATCCCGAATAATATCCATGCCACATCTATTTTTTTCCTGCATGAGAAGAAAAAAAGAAAATTCTATCTTACTAGATATATCAAGTATTAATACATAAACTTTAGAGCCCCTGGACATTAATCAGAAGTCTATACAAATCATATGTCTGTTAATGAAATAATAACTATTTGTTACTAAATTAAGAAATGAGCATGTCACACTACTTACTTCTTACTTGAAGTGTCATAGAGAATGATTCTTTTATCCAAGCCTGTGGTTACAAATAGCAATTCATTGACGGGTGAAAAACAGATGCCTGAAGCTGGAGCTTTATGTGTACTGTCAAAATTATGGTATGGACTCTGACTGTTCACATCCCAGAGAGTTACTATTCCATTATCTGAAACACTGCCCAGTAGTGATTTCTTAAACAAGGAGTACTTCAAGTGCCGTACAGACTATAAAAGTAAAAGAATAAATTTTATGCAATTGTAAGCATTCATAAAGACATTTTATATAACCTATATAAATAATGGCCAAACTATTCACATGAAGCTTGGGATTTCTCTGAGTATAGAGTGACAAGTTTCAATCATGACAACCACAGTATCATTTAGTGGACTGACTGGCTATAAGATGACCCTGAAACATAGCAGTATTCTATTAATTAAATATTTGTCATCATTTTATTATCTTGGAGTATAGCTACCTCAATCTCCCTCTTTCAGAGGAAAAATACAATACACTGAGATCACTTGCATTAATTCAACAGGGTTAGAACATCCGCCTTAAATAAAAGGCCCAGTCACAGTCAAGTCACAAACAAGTATAAGGGAATACTGGGAGAGAATAAACAACAATATTTCTTACTTGTTTTCTATATATATTTTTAGACATTTGGATATATTTGTTTGAATCTGAGCATCTGATGGCACTGACAATCGAACATGAAGTGTAATAAAAAATTACCTAAACCACAAAGGACAAATTGCAACACTCTAGACTGCGCATGGACCATGTCCATTCTTTCAAAAGCATCAGCCTGAGGGCAATGTTGGCCTTTCTCTAAACCCTAACCCCTGGGGGCAGTGGAGATACTCTCTCTTTAGTTTCTGAAGACCGGAATAAACAAAGATCCAGTTTGAATAAACAGGTCTTAGATTAAAACTGGTTGAATGTTATCTACTTTTACTAAAATGCTGCTTTCAAACTTGTATTATATTATCGTTTACTGTGCTGAGAATTAAGTACTTTATACTTAAGCTAATTTCCCCTGCAAACTCATATTCTACTTCTAAGATGTTCCAAAATAAAATGTATTAGCCCCCAATAACGACAAATGTTTAGGAATAACATAAAACAAATTTGGACTAAGAAAACAAAAGGAGTATCAGTTACCAGGCACCTATGGTAAGATAATTCATATGTGAAACTTAAGTGAGACTTATGAAAGTGGATTTAACATATATTGAACTACATTGTATTTAAAATCTCTCAGAACACCCGCTAAATTTAAAGAGCATTTTTTAACCTAAGGAATCAATAAAATAGATTGACATTCTTAACTGCTTTGAAAAAGGCTGCAGTTTGAGAAAGGTAACACCAGTTAACCTATCTGTGAGCCTAAGCTGCTGAACTTGCCAAACAGTGACATGCAATTATTTAATATAATCTAAAAAGTCTGTCAGGCCCAGCAGTTCTGCAGAAGCAGCAAGGCTCTTTTTCCCCTGCAGAAAGACACTGTGATCCACATAAAACTATTAATAATAGCTTCTATTTAGCTCAGACATTTCAAGTAAGATTCCAAACACATTCAGGAAATCTTATTTCTGATATAAAATTCAGTATAATACAGATTCTGTGAGGTTCCATGGTTTTGTCACTTTTACTAAGAAACCAATTTGATAATTTTTAAAGATTTCAAATCCTTGATTGTTCATGGAAACAAAAACAGAAAAGCATTTATTCATTCATAGATGTGCTCTACCTACTATTTTTCTCAATAACCCAGCCCCTATCTATAGTAAAACTGATCAACATAGAAACTGGGCTGAGTAACTGTGTTTGAATTCAATTATGTCAACTTTTTGACAGATTTGAAATTTTTATAAACATTGTTTAAACTTAAGAAACAAATATTCAATATATTTAAAAATTTAAATAAATTTTAAGAAATCTTAATAATCTTAATAATTTTTCAAAATGAATGTTCAAGTAGCAATTCTATGCTTTTGTCAATTAATAACTAAATTGCTTATAGGGAAAAAAACTAATTAAAAAAAAAACTCCAAAGATTTCAATGATGCTTCCTATAAAAGGGAAACATAAGTATGCAGAATCATGAAAACTGTGACTTTTCTAAGAAAACTGAGACTGCATTCTTACATATAGAGGCCAAATTGTATTCCTTAGCCCATATACTCTATTTTAATGGTATAGCTTATCACAGAAAAATGAAATAATATACTATACGAAATATATATAACTATTTGTTCCAAGGATAAAAAAAAAACAAAACACACCCCAGCAAGTTTCTTCACCTACTATAATGCTCTCCTTATTTTAGTCGGTCTAAAACACAAAATACTATTACTAAGGTCGAGTTACATCTGGGTTTGGAGTTAAACCTGAAGATGTTCAAACCAGTTTGGAGAAGTAAATCACAAAAGCTATTGTACTTTAATGGGTTGGTATGATTATTTATTAAAAGCTCACAACAGCAGCTAAAATTCATTGATCTCTTACCAAATGTTAGGCACTGTGATAAACACACTCACCATCTAATTTAGCCATTAAAAAAATCCTGTTGAAAGTATATTATCATTCTCACTTGACAGATAAGGAGAAGGAGGCTTCAGAGTTAAGTGACTTGTTCAAGTTTACTCAGGTACTCCTAGTGCTCTCCAAATAAACGTGGGGCTTACCACGTAAAGCTACACCAAAAGATCCTACAGAGATGCAGACTGCCCAAGCAGGAGGCAGCAGGCACATGAAAATCTCAAGTTCTGGTTTATTCTAACTTTAGACAAGAGATAAACTTTGAGGATTACTGTTGTCCTAAACTAGAAGATAAATTTAATTCAGTTTCCCTATGCAAAGTAATCAGTGAAAATTCTTTGAAAAATCAACAATACAGCAACCAGTCACCTAGAATTTTAAAAGATATTTCTTTTAATATGAGGATGAAGTACAAGAAAATGCTGGACTCCTGCACAAGGTGACAAGAGAACAGTGCAAATTTTCCAGAGGCTTTGGATCCTCACACATTCATCTGCTCCTGAGCTAGAAAGAGATCAGAGAGAAAACAATGCTACCACTCTTGAAGAGTTGATATTTAAAACAGTCAATTAAGAGTTGTGTGATCTGAAAGTCCTGGAATCTATTTTCTCATTTGTAAAATGAGAATAACATACACCTCGGAAGCCAGTAGCAGAGATTAAATGAGAGAACTTAACACAAAGCAATGATCACAGTGTTGAAATACAGTAAATGGTAGTTAAGTATTCTATGCAGGTGATAACATCTACCTAGAATGCTCTACACAGATCCTCTCAACACATGTCCTGTTCCGTCCTCCAACCCCAGGTCTGAATAACTAGGACTTTTCCTCAGGCTGCCATTGAGACATCATTATCTTTAAAATGCTTTTCCTGACTTCCTCCCAAATGGGTTAGGTACCCCTCCTTTATGTTCCCCGGGAACCCTGCAATTTATTGCTTTTCCAGTATTCGACATATTATTTGGTTAATTGTCCACTTACTTGCTTATTGCTACTACTAAAATGTCAACTGTGTCTTATTTAAAGTCATATAGCCAGCACTTAACCAGTGCTTCCAACATAATAATCACTCAACAAAAAGTATGAAATTATATGAATGAATGAAAAAAACAAGTGATCTGTATATAATTTTAAAAATTCAATCATTTCATTTAAATGTTTAAAAGGTAATAAAGAGTAACAAGAAAGAACACTTAAAATGTTTTTCTTGATACATTCTAAAAGGTGAGAATAAGCAGAATAAAAGCAGGAAAGAAGTAAAAAAAATGAGTTCTATCTAGGATACACAGGCTACAGAAATAAAAAAAATATGAATTATAGGAGCTTGATTTAAATGATTTAAAATTTCCAATATGTAAATTTTGTCTATGATATATAACACCCTAATTAAATAAAGGATATCTACAAAAAAAACCTTACAATTACTACTGTCATACTTGTTAGTAAAGTGTGAATGCTTCTTCCTGAATCTGGGGACAAAATTATGATGTTCACTATTATCCCTTCTATTCAACACTGGATTGCAGATGGTAGTTAATGCAATAAAGAAAAAGAAATAAAATGTAAAGATTTTATTGGGAAAATAAGAAATAAAACTATTATTCACAGATGATATGATAGAGTACACATAAATTTCAAATGCCAAAAAAATCTACAAATTCTTTCAAAAGAATCAAAACTATCAAAACTATCAAATGAATGTAGCAGGATTCCTGGATAAAGAAATAATATACAAATATCAACTACATTTCTCTATATAAGCCACAAAGAATTGGAAAATAAAGCTTAACAAAAAATGTAATTTATAATATATGATCAAAAAAATCAAATACATAGTTAACAAATCTAACAAAAAATATGTAAGACTTCTAAAGGAAAAACAACAAAACACCACTGAGAAAAATTAAAGAAGACTTATATAAATGAAAAGTTTACACCATGTTCATGGAAGAATCAATATTGTTAAGATAGTTCTTCCTAAATTGGTCCATAGATCTAATAGAATACCAACCAAAATCCAAGCAGATTTTTTTTGGTAGAAATAGGTAAGCTGACTGTAAAATTCAGATAGACATGCAAAGGACCTTGAATAGTCAAGGCAAAGTTGGTAATATCAAGACTTACCACAAAGCTACAATATCAAAAGTGTGATCTCATATTAATAGTAGTCAACTAGATTAATAGAACAAAACAGAATGTTTAGAAACTAACATATACAATTACCAGCTTTGCAAGGAAGGCATTAGTGTAATTTACTGGAGAGAGGTTAATCTTTGCAATAAATAATGCTGGTACAATTATTAATAGAATCTATATGAAAACTACAACCCTACATCACACCACACACAAAATTTAATTTGAAATGGATCATAATAGACATAAATGAGAAAGAAAAAACAATAAACCTTCTAAAAGAAAACATAGGATAGTATCTTTAAAACCCTGGGGCAAGCAAGATTCTCCAAGAGAACACAAAAACCTGCAACCACCAAAGAAAAGACTGACATACTACACTTGATGTCATTAAATTTAAGAATTTCTGTTCAGTGAAAAAAAAAGGTATTAAGAGAGTAAAACAATAAGCCATGGCTGAAAGAAGATATACACAACATGCGTATCGCCAAAATGGCTCTATCTGAAATACATAAGAAACCGTAAATAAGAAAAACACAAATAACCCAATATAAAAACGGGCAACAGACTTGACAGTCACTTCACAAAAGGCGGCATTATGAAAATGCACTCAACGTCATTCAACATGGAGAAACGGAAATTAAAACCACAATGAGACACCACTATACAACTATCGAGGTGGCAAAAATTAATAAGACAGACCCAGTATAATAAAAAATGTGGAGCAACTGGACCTTACATACATTGCTGGCAGAAGTGTAAAATAGCATGAGAACTTCAGAAAACTTTTTGGCAATTTTTCATAAAGTAAAGTTTTATGCCTACCCTTTGACCCACCAATTCCACTCCTGGGTATTTGCTTAAAAAAAAAAAAAAAAAAAAAGAAAGGAAGAAAGAAAAGAAAAAAAAACATATTCAAAAAGACTTGTACAAGAATATCAGAGTATCTTTCTCATAATTGGTAAAACTGGAAACAACTCACATACTCACCACCAATAAAATGAATAAATAAATGGTGGCCCATTCATATAATGAAATACTACCAATATTAAAACACTATGAACTACTATTCCATGCAACAAAGCAAATGTAATGATGACTAAAGAAACCAGACACATACGAGTCCTTTTTTATGAAATACGAGGTAGTGACTGGAAAGGGTAAGAATGAGTACTCTGGTGTGCTGGACATGCTCCGTATCTTGATTTTGTTAGCAGTTACATAGGTGAATATATGTATATATAAAAATTCATCATGTTGTACACTTAAGATACATACACTTTATTATATGTTAAGTTATATCTCAATTTTTAAAATAATTCAAATCTTTTACACATAATTAGGCCAAAAACTGTAATCAAACCTAATGTTTTCAGGAATATTCCTTCATGTTTGGTTTTAATAAGAAAACTCTCTAGCAAGATATAAAAAAACCTGAAGCATAGGAATATACATAGTAGTATCTGGTTTAATTTTTATGTTACTGAAAAGTCGGTCCAAAATTCATAAATTTTTCATGCTTCTAATATACAAAAAAAAGAAAGAAAATTACTCTATTTCCTTAAAAAAGCATGACATTTGAATGCTATATATGATTTTTTTTCATAGCGGTTCAAAGCCTATGGCCTTAGACTCTACATCTCCATTATCAAAATACAAATAAAAAATGAAATCCCAAAAACAAAATATAGGTTCCTGCTTTTATGACAATATTAATACATTCTAAAAAGCAAGTCCTTTCCAATATTTTCTTATACTGGTCCAATACAAAGCCCATGTACTTTACTTTCCCTTTGTTTTTGTTCTCTAATCACCAGAAAAATGCAAATCAAAACCACAATGAGATATCACCTAACTCCAGTGAGAATGGCTTTAATAAAAAGTCCCAAAACAACAGATGCTGGCATGGATGTAGAAAGAGAGGAACACTTATACACTGTTGGTGGGACTACAAAACTAGTACAACCTCTATGGAAAGTAATATGAAGATAACTCAAAGAATGAAAAGTAGGCCTATCATTTGATTCATTAATCCAATTATTAGGTATTTACCCAAAGGAAAAAAGTCATTTTATAAAAAAGACATTTGCACTCGAATGTTTATTGCAGCACAATTCACAATCACTAAGATGTGGAATCAACCCAAGTGCCCATTAATATATGAGTAGATTAATAAAATGTATACCATGTATATCACGGAGTATTACTCAGCCATAAGAAAATGGTGAACTAATACCTTTGTAACAACTGGATGGAACTGGAAACCATTCTTCTAAGTGAGGTATCGCAAGAATGGAAAAACAAACACCACATGTACTTACTATTAAATTGGAACTAATCGATCAACACTCATATGCACATATGGTAGTAAAATGCAATGGAAATCAAGCAGATGGGAGGGGGAAGGAGGGAATGGGTAAATTCACACCTAATAGGTACAATGCACGCTATATGGGTGATGGACACAGTTATAACTTTGACTGAAACTGTACAAAAGCAATTTATGTAACCAAAACATTTGTAGCCCTGTAATATTCTAAAATTAAAAACAAAAAACAAATCCAACATAAAAAAGGAATTCAATTGCATAATGGAATTTATGTAAGCACCATAATCTAGTATGAACTAGCTTATTTGAACATTTTTAAATACTACCATTACAAAATAGCTAGTGGTACGTTTTTCAAACAAGCCAAATGCAAATTTAAAATATCTAAACATTTTTAAAACTTAAATTCATTGTCTTATATAAGACAATTCAAAATCTATTTTATCAACTTTGTTTTGAATAAACCCATACTATACCTGATTACTACCATGGCCAAAAGGAGTACTAGACAAATTAGTGGTTACACTGTGCAAAATAATTTCACCACTAAGAGATCCAGAAGCAATATAGCAATCATTCCAATTGTATGTTACACAAGTTACTTCATGTTTATGATCCTGAAAGAGAGAAATCAAAGTATTAATAAACACACTGTCCCATAACTTTCAAACAGCCCATTTTCATGTTTTTGTAAATAACAAATATTATGTATTTGTCAATCTAATATTTACTCTAACATTTTCCTTGAATAACTTTGAAAAATTACTCAAATGAGTAACTATCTCATCAATACCAAGTCTTCTCAGGAAATAGGTTTATTTTTCATAACCATAATAATGGTCCAGGCACTCTGAAAACAAGAGATGTCATGGAAAGGTAACGTTCTCCATGGCATTATGTCTACCCTAAAGAATTCACTTCCACTGAAAAATAACCTGTATTGCAAGTTAACTATTATGAGAATCCCTGCCCTTGAGAGTACTACTGTTCAGTTGAGAAGACGGGACATTTAAATTAATGTGAAAATGGCAGAGCGAATGCTAAAACAGCAATAGAGACAAAGTGTCAGAGGAAAGAGAAAGACATCACTGTGACCTGAGTTGACAGAGGAAGCTTTATGAAAGACATAAAGCTTGAGTTCAACCTTTAAGGATAAGAGAAAAGTCATGGGAAGGGGAAAGAAACCAGACATTGCAAAATGGAACAGTGGGAAAAACCAATGAGCAAGGCATGTTTGAGAGATAATAGCAGCCGCTTCCAATTGCTGAGTACCTGTTAGTGCTAGGAGTTTCATATTATCATTGAATCTTTAGAAAATCCTAAGAGGCAAGATCGTTTTGCCCATGTTATAAATGAGGCACATGAGGCACCAAAAGTTTAAGAAACCTATGTGAGCTCACATAACTGCTAAGTGATAGAGCCAGGATGCAATTCCACATCAAACTCCAAAGCCTATCCTCCCACTATACCAGGCTGCCTCTCAAATCCAAATGGGAATCCACTTTGAGGAAATAAAATTGCTGAGTTTTAAACAAACTGAGTTCAAAAGGGCTATATTTTCCAACATCAAATCAGAGAGATGTCTGTCTAGCAGAAGCATAGAAAAGTGATTAGGGTTAGGAGGATAGTTTTTAACAGTTTGGTGCCATATCTCAGTAATACAAACAAACTAACCCCTGTATCTAATAATTAGATTTATGTAATAGTAAGAATAATAGCTATGCTATTCCACTTATATAACTTTTTCAAATGGTCCTTCAGGCGCTTTCAGAGATTTCTCTACATTTTATTCCTTTTCTAAATCAAAGAAACAATTGCTATCTTGAGATAGCAACAATAAATGTTTGATGAGAAGACAAAGGGAGTAACAGACATCTTGTGCATCATTTCCATTTGGGAAATTAAGAACATGGGGTCCAATACAATTTCTATGACTTTGTAAAGAGGCAGGTGTCTTCCTAATTTCGACTATGGAAAATAAGTCATTCAATAAACATTTACTAAGCACCTACCAACTGCCAGAAATTGTGTTACATCACCAGGAAGAGAGTTGTAAAGGAGGGATCCAAAGGTGAAAGGTAAGATTTCCCACTATCACAATTAGTCAGTCAAATACTCATCAACGGAATGAATAAGGGAACAAAGCACTCTAAGAATTTCAAACAACACGAAGAGAAAAAACCATCAGGAGTGATGGGGAAAGCTGAGGATGGAAAAATGAGTAGAATTTTGCCATGCAGGGATGGGGTAAGTGAAGCTCCTAAAATGTGTGACAATGTGCAAACAAAACTGGCCATAGACTCTAATCTTTTCTCAACTCTGTAAGACACTCCCTATTCATAGCAGGTATATCCCTCTAAATACCTTTAATTATTTCATAATTTAAAAGACTAAGCAATGAATAATATCTGAGTTTGCATTTCATCTTTGCCGTTACTAGTTGACATAGAACAAGTTCTTTAACATCTGACTCAGTTTTTCTATCTGTACACAGGAGGAATACTACCTGCTTTGCAGAGTAGTAAGCAGGATCAGTATTTATAAGCACAGTAGCTGGCATATCAAAGAACTCAATAAAAGTTAACTATTGCCATTACTGGCAACTTTTCAATTACCCACCTTTTCCATAATAAAGATTATAGAGTTAAGACTCTTGAAAATTGAGCTAAATATAAAATAATGAACTTCCAAAATTAATAGTTAAATAGCAATTGTAGGATTATATTTCAATTTAGCTAAGAGAAAACAATTCTTCTATATGCCATTTCTCTAGTAAGAATTTAACTCAATGGCCCGGACTCACACCTGTAATCCTAGCACTCTGGGAGGCCGAGGCCGAGGCGGGCAGATTGTCTGAGCTCAGGAGTTCGAGACCGCCTGAGCAAGAGCGAGACTCTGTCTCTACTAAAAAAAAATAGAAAGAAATTATCTCAACAACTAAAAATATATAGAAAAAATTAGCCGGGCATGGTGGCACATGCCTGTACTCCCAGCTACTTGGGAGGCTGAGGCAGTAGGATCACTTGAGCCCAGGAGTTTGAGGTTGCTGTGAGCTAGGCTGATGCCACGGTACTCTAGCCAGGGCAACAGAGTGAGACTCTGTCTCAAAAAAAAAGGACTTTTAAATTTAAGGAGAATATTAGGATAAGTATAGTGCTATCTAAGAGAACTATTATCCAAAGGATAGCATGTAGTTAGATAAA